TATATATATGTGTGTGTGTGTGTGTGTGTGTGTGTGTGTGTGTGTGTTTTAAATTCTGTTTTCTTAGAAAGAAAGACTGGTGTCTTTGTGAGAATTGTTCATTAGCCGCAGCACTTAATGACAGTTTTATATATTTTGCTGACTTTTGTACTTTCATTATCCCAAATGTTTAGAAGAATGTTTAAATGAAACAGCGCTGCTTTCCGGAAGGAGCGGAAGCGGTCGACTGTGGCAAAATAAAAGCTCCGCTGCTGTCGAGCTGTGTGTCGCACTCATTCAGCGGCCTCGTTTTGCTTCGACGGCTTTCTGCCTCACTCTGCTTCATACTACGCCGTTAATAAATCTTTAATACATTAGCTCATCCATGAACATGATTTCTGCCTGAGTCCCATCGGATTGCTTCAGCTGTGGGGATGAAGACGACAACTCCCATGATTCCACACTCAGTCACGGCGTCATCTAACTACGCCTTTGTTTGTTTTGAATATGCGCCCTCTAGTGGCAAAAAATTACATATTGTGCCTTCAATGCATGGATCCGATATATTGACACATGCAAAAAAACCTAAACCCAACTGTTTATATTCACTTAAGACAGGCAAATGTGTTTGTGAATACTAGCCGAGACAGACATTTTGACAAACCTTTGAGTATTTGACTATTTAAGCACAATAGGCTGCAAAAGCGAACTCAATTTGGTACTCGTATGATGGTTTCTGAGTGTGCACTTTGGTGTTATGGGAACAGAAACCGTCACTCAGACAGCATGCAAATACCTAATTGAGTTCTCATTTTTGGGCTTTGAACAATTTAAAATGGCTTACAAATAACATTTAAACCGGCAAGGCTTAAAAGCATGGAAATAAACTGTTGTGACTGTAGCAATGCATTGTGATGTGAGCATAACTGTGATAGAGAGAGAATTCACAAATGTATTGGTTTGTGTCTACGGGCATATCACCCATCGCTAATACATGTACACATTTTTAATAAATGTTTCAGGGTCTTAAAGCATTATGCCTGTCTGATGTTTGTTTCCATTTAATCTGCAGGACTACTTGCCCAGCCAAAAGGATATACTGCTGGCACGAAAGCCCACCAAGGGTATCCATGAGTACGACTTTGAGATCAAGAATGTTCCTTTCAAGATGGTGGATGTGGGAGGGCAGCGGTCAGAGCGCAAGCGATGGTTCGAGTGCTTTGACTCTGTGACCTCCATCCTCTTCCTAGTCTCATCCAGCGAATACGATCAGGTGCTCATGGAAGACCGTCAGACCAACAGGCTCACAGAGTCGCTCAGTATCTTCGAGACTATCGTCAACAACCGCGTCTTCGCCAACGTCTCCATCATTCTCTTCCTCAATAAGACAGACTTGCTGGAAGAAAAAGTTAATAATGTGAACATCAAGGACTACTTCCCCGAGTTCACAGGGGAACCCCATAATCTGCTGGACGTGCAGAAGTTCCTGGTCGATTGCTTCCGTAACAAGCGTCGTGAACCGCAGCAGAAGCCCCTTTATCATCACTTCACCACCGCCATTAATACAGAGAACATTCGACTCGTCTTCCGTGATGTCAAAGACACCATCTTGCACGACAACCTTAAGCAGCTTATGTTACAATGAAAGGCACCGATTGGCCTATAAGAACTTTCAATTTTAATTAGGTTTTTACTTTATTTAATACAAAGTACAAGTGGTTCAATACATATTGTGGTTGAAGAAAAATAGGATAATTATGCAACTGTAATTTTGCATATCATTACAGTCATATATATGCAGATTTGATATAAAAGCAACGTCTTTAAGCTGCTTATAGCCGTATCAGATATGCCAAGGAATGGTCCTCATTTATTCACCAAAATGCTGTAATTCTGATCGTTTACTGTATGCTTATGAGCACATATTTTCGTATAATGGAACTGTTAACACTCCTGTAACCCATAGGCTTAACACCTGGTTTTGATACAGTTTTTAAAAAAGAAAGTGTGAGAACTCAGGGCTTTAAATCTTTAATTCAAAGAGCTCTTCTGATCCAGTCAGCAGTTGTTTATGGGCTTGACGAGTCTGGTTATATATATATATATATATATATATATATATATATATATGGCACTAGTGTCCTTTTTTTATGGTAGTAGAACATGGTTTCACCGCCTTTGTCTTCCCACACTCAAAATAACTTTTTGTTGTACTCTGATCATGACATTAAATTAGTAAAATTAAGGTACTTTTGTATTGAAGTACTTAATTTTTATTTTATTTTTTTATGTAAAGGGAAAGTGTCTTTGTTTGTCATTCAAGCCTGTACAGAATGCATCTCTACATACAATTTATTTTGCTCTGACACTCCCCGTCCCCTCCCCTCCAAGCTGTATATTTTATACACTAACGTAATACCATACATTTATTGTATGTATTCTAGAAGCCCTGAAATTCAATACCGTTTTTATTATTATTATTATTATTATTATTATTAATTCACTTTAAAAACAGAAAGTGGCCTTATGTTCTTTGCTCCTGTGTAGGTTAAAGTGGACAGCTTTAGCTCAGGATTTTATAAAATGACTGTTAAAGCAGTCCAGGTGTATTTCTGTGTATACTACAGACTTTTCTTTTTTAAACGGGCCAAACAAAGTCACCTTTGCCTTAAATGTCTGTAGATCAAATCAAAGCTGGTTTGATGCAAGACGAAATGAAAGGGACTAAGTCTTAATATAATCTTAATGAAAACAAGCACTGTAATCTGAGTGTTGGTAGTAAATTGATATTAACTGATTGCCTGAATTTGTTCATGCAATGCTGTCTATCTTTGTCATGACCTCAATCACTTGCTTTTTGTATAGTTTTTTTTTTTTGGATCACATTTGTCTAATTGTTTATTAAATCTGATTATTTTATCAAAATGGTTGTGTATTTATTTTACTGCTTGCTTATTTCAGTAAAGAAAAAAATTGGCTATATTGACTGAGCATCACACTAAAACGGGTGCCCAACCCTGCTCCTGGCTATCGACTGTCCTGCAAAGCTTAGCTCCAACTCTAATCAAAGACACCTGCCTTTAATTTTTAAGTGATCCTGAAGACCCTAATTAGTTGCTTCAGGTGTGTTTGATTAGGGTTGGAGCTGAATTTTGCAGGACAGTCGATCGCCAGGAGCAGGGTTGGGCACCCCTGCTCTAAAACAATCTACCACTTTTTGAATACATGATGATGTATTTAAAGGGTCATGAAATGATGATTTGGATTTGAGACTTTAGTCTTTGCAACTTTACAGATCTTCTTTATGCACCAAGAGCTTGTAACACTCAAAAGAGAAAGGAAAAATTTAAATCGCATCATATGACCCCTTTAAGAAACGCTAAATAAGGGCGTTGTGCGCAACGGAGTGGAGGGGGAAGAGGGGAGACCGACATCAAGCACAACACAAATAAATGCACAGCCATTTGCACTCTGCAACGAAAACATATATGAATGTCCTGTTGCACCTCTGAGAACTTTTAAGGCTTATTCTGTGGCGTTTATATAAGCCTTTTGACAGCTTGTGTCACGAAGCTGTAAAAACGGTTACACTCACTAAGTGAATGAATCGTGTTTGTGCCGAACTCTTATTACAAAGCAAAAACAAACACTCTTCTTCCTTCCATACATGAACGTTTCTCTCAGTTAATGTTCGCAGTCTCGCCGTCTGAAGCTTCTGTAATAGCAAATCAACACATGCTGTTGTGAATAATTAATGAAGTATGAAGAATAATTATCTCATAGGATAAGAACACTCAATGTAGTGCTGGGCGGTATGACCAAAAATTTATATCACGGTATTTTTCAAAATGATACCGGTTTCACGGTACATAACGGTATTTTTTTTTTCATGCATGACCGGGTGTTAACCATATTTTCTACTGATTGAGAGAGGAAATACTGCAGAACATTGACTTAGAATGCCCTATTTTGCTGTCATGATGAGTGAATATTGTCAAAAAATACCACACTAAATAGTGACTAAACACGACCCCTTTTAATACATGTTAACCAGGAGTCACTCTCATTTATAATCGCGGCATCGTCTGATAAAATCAACATGCATCTACACTAAAGAGCGGATATGTGGTTGTTTTGGCTATATTACTTTTTTTGTCTCATGCAGCGCACTGCCTGCGTCTGAGTAACAAACTAAAAAAAAACAACAAACAAAAAAGTGCATGTGATATTAACAGAAGAACTACGCTCATATTTATAATTCCAAACAATCAGTGAGCGACAGGTGCTGTTTTGTACTCATTTATTGATGAGTCGGCTGCGGTGCGGCCAACTGATTGCACTGCTTCTCTGCCGCTCACTGCACAGAACAGACGCCTAGAGAGGTGACACTTCTCCGGGAAAGTCAGACCTCGCATTCGTGGGACAGCACTGGCGAAATCTTCCAACTGAACCATAGCTAAGGTTTATCCAAAAAAGTCGCTGCCAGTGGCTAAACTGTGTTATGCAAGGCTCCAATCACTTAAGAGGAGTCTGACCGTTGACCACTTGACCTCTGCCCCATCTGATTGCATAAACTACAGTCTGCCATTGGATTCAAAATAGCTGACAGATACAAGGTAAGACCAAACCCTGCCATAGCTGACTGTAGTTTGCAGCAGTATAACTGATGCAGCTGAACATTTGAACATCACTGACTTGAATCAATCAGTATAGTATGTTACAGAATGTTAATGTAGATACTGTAATATGTACTCTACAGGCCTCATTACACTGGATTGAAGATGGAGCTGACAGCACCACACAACATTCAAAACCCACACAAGCCTTCCAAGAGTATAAACGCTGGTTGTGTAAGTGCTTACTAATATTGGAAGGTGAAAAATCATGAGCCAGCCTGTATGATCTTTTGCTACCATCAAGGCAAGTTGAGACATGTTGTATGCACATTCTTGAAAAGAGCTTTGGTTTGTATGGATGTATGGATCAAAATAAAATTGTATTTCTCCATTTTGTTGATTTTTTAAATATGATGTAGCGTCTGGACCACCCAAACACACAATATATATTTTGTTAGCTAGATTTAACAAATACTCTGTAACACCCCACGAACAGGCCCCTGGTTTCATGGTAACCTGGACACCTGATACATTTACAACCTTGTGGAATGTGAGCTGAGACTCTCAGCTGCATTTCACAGAAGCAAGAGGCACAAAGGCAGAGTAGAAATGGATTTTGCTACTAATTAATTCATAGGAAAACCTTTCTTTGAATGAACACACATATTCTTCAGGCCATTGTGTATATTATTGCTGTTTTGTATTAATCTGTTGTATTATAGACTATTTTATTCATGCTTACGATAAACCACTCATTCATATAACCTTACATATACCGTGTTTAGTATCTATGAATTCGCCTTCTGATGATCTAAACAAGAGTGTATATTATATGTTGGTACATAGGCAATATATTAGTGTCCTGAGAATCTTTAGTATTTTCGATTCAAGTTCCAGATACTAAGTACCATGTTTCCACACAAAGAGTCATAAAACTTTAAATCAGAACAATTCAGACAACAGTCTAAAAAAATGTTTATTTTTCAATCTGATTTGAAGATTATTCTAACAGTTGTGTCTATTGTGCAGAAATAGAAGACCTCATAAGACCACATATTCACATTCCACTGAACATACAGCAAATATAATTCCTTTCCATTATAAAATTCAAGTCATGTGACCGTATTTCAAGAACAAATGTAGTTTTACTATAGAGGTAAGTGATGAAGCAGTCTTTTAAGACACACTCACATTTGAATTTGGCATTGCATCACTTTGGGAAAACCATTGTCTTCATTTCAGTAGCATCAACCTGAGCTCTGAAAAGCTTTGAATTCACAGGTATCTCTACATAATAGAGATGGAAATGTAATTCACAGTTCAGAACACTGTCGTGAGCATCGGAAGGCTAAACAACACCCTAAACAGACACTATTTGCATTAATAAAGTTGTTTACCAGGTTTTAGCATCCATTTAGGAGACAGATGTTGCAGTATACTAGTTGAAAGCTGACCTGAGGTGAGCTGAATTTGAAGTACTGAAGAGCAATCCATCGCTCTTTTGAAAATTTTAAAAAAGGTTCCTTTTAAAATAAAGTATCAAATACCTCTTTCTAACCCTTTGTTTAACCTTAGTTGATGAATTCAGCATTATCTTTGGTCATTGCTTTACCCATCAGTAATCACCCCTTGCCCATAATAACTAAAACCACGAAAATGTGGTTTCCTGTTACACATTATGTTTGTTTCTTTTGCATCTAGAATTCTAAACGACAAAAGTCTCAGTGTTTAGTATTACAAACATTCATGAAAATGTGTTTTTCAAGTCTAATCAGTTTTCATGACAGCTACTGCTAATATAATGCACTATGATAATCACATGTATGATCTCAGTGTATAAACGTTTGTACATCTTAAAGGGTTAGTTCAACCAAAAATTAAAATTCTGTCATAACACTCCTATGCCATTCCAAACCAATGAAATATACAGACATAGAGCACCTAAAATATGGTAAACGGAAGCTAAACAGCACTTGGGTGATGTGAGAAAAAACCCTAATTGTTTATTGTGCATCAGTGATGACAGAATTTTCATTTTTTGGGTGAACTAACCCTTTAAGCAATTATTATGAATCTTAATGTAGTTATATTTTAGTTATAGTTGTGAAAGGTTTCCTATGTTATCACCAAATCTGATAATACCTAAAGTTCAGCTAAATTCACAAAGGAAGTCTTTTTTTCAAGACTTGATAACTTGATTATCGACTTCTAGGAATTCCTCTGGTTTGTCTTTGGACACTTGCTCCACTATGGGGTTATTTTGTCTATTGTCCCTCCTCGAGCACAGTTGAACTGTTTTAGCTGGATGTACGAGCCCAAGGAAGACAGCGCCTAGTCCCATTCCCGCAGCACAGGAGTAGAATGCAGCCCTATAATTCTGTGTAACATCCACAAGGACACCTAGAATATTTGAGAGGGAAATGTTTTTTTTAAACTTTCTGTTCATCAAAGAATCCTGAAAAATATAGCATGGTATATTAAGCAGCACAACTGTTTTCAACATTGATAATAATAAATGTTTCTTGTGCACCAAAACAGCATATTAGAATGATTTCTGAAGGATCATGCGACACTGAGTAATGAGCTTCTGAAAATTCAGCTTTGTCATGTAACGTAAAAAGTGTAACATTTTAAAATACACTGCTCAAAAAGGGAACACTTAAATCATACATTGGAAAGAAATCGTGTACTTCATTGAGAAGAAAATTATGTGACAATGGTCTATGGAAACCCAAATCATCAACCCACAGAGAGCTGGATTCAAAATCACACTGAAAATCAAAGGAAAAAATGAAGTTACAGGCTGATCAGATGTGCATGAATTTCATCAAAGCAACTCAAAATGTAAGTGAGAAGTGTGTGTGGCCTCCACATGCCAGTATGCACTCCCGACAAAGTTTAGGCATGCTCCTGATGAGATGGCGGATGGTTTCCTGGGTAGTCTCCTCCCAGACCTGGATCATCATCAGTGAGCTCCTGGGTTCTGTGGTGCTACTTAGTGGCTTTGGATGCTCCGATACATTCAGGTCTGGGGAAGGACCGGTCAATGGCTTCAATGGCATGAGAGCCGGTGAGGGCCAGTCAATGGCATCAATGCCTTTGTCATCCAGAAACTACCTACACACTCTGGCCACATGAGGCCAGGTATTGTCATGCACCAGGAGGAACCCAGGGCTCACTGCACCAGCGTAAGTTCTGACAGTGGCTCTGAGGATTTCATCCCGGTACCTATCAGCAGTAAGGGTATCGTTGGC